ATTTTGGCTGACGGTATTCGGTGAAAGAAGATTGTTCACGGTATTACGGTACCGTTTATTTGCGCTTTCCTTTCGCAAAACAAAACACAGTAGGACATAATGGTCAGTAAAAGTTAATATTTAGAAGTCTTGAGACATAACCGTAAATGATTACACCATTCGTGGGTCATTTTGTGACAATTAATGGTCGATAATATACAATGTGATTGTTGTTGCATCCATTGATAATGAGTCGTCTCAAGTTACCTTACCAGGCTTTTCGATCAGTGTATCGGTGCCGGTAATTCGAGGTCTTACACGTTTTCTCACAATGGCTAAGGTCGCTGAGGTTAAAGACGACGTGGTCATCACATCATTGACTGTGTGGCATTTTTTTATGAAGAAGGCGAAGGAGGCGGACATTATCGCAACAAGAATAAGTTTAGATGTCGGGTTTCGAGAATTGAAAAACGCCTTGTAAAGTTAAAAGAGAAAATTTGGTAAGTTTGCCTCTTACCGGCACGGCGTGTGAGACAGTCGAGGTAGTTGACCCCTAACGCACTTACCAAAACTATGCCTGCCCATATGTAGCAATATTTAATCCCTGTTGATTCATATTTGATTTGGACATGATTTCTTTTAAATTTAAACCTCGCATCTAAAATTTATTTAAATTTAAAAGAGTTTTATTTAATCCTTTGGAAATTTCATTTAAGCTTCTTACGGAAATCCATTTAATCTTCGATTAAATTATGGTTTAAACTTTGACATTTTCATTTAATTCATTCTATCCATTTAAATTTAAACTTTGGAATTCCCATTTAAAATTTACTGAAAAATGTCTTTTAAACTGCTGAATTCTAACTTAATCCTTTAAATTGAAACGTTCACAAATTTCTTTTAAACTTACCAATGTAAATTATATTTAAACTGCGAAAGTAAAATTCATTTAATCTTCCTGGGGCGAGCTCGACTGGGATCACGTGCTCAGGTCAAATGGCAAGGTCACTTGTCGTATCCTCGGCTGCAATTTTTATCTGCAGTAGAAAGTGTGGACGAAGGAACGAAAGGAGGAGTGAGCGAATTACTAAGCGAAGCGTCAAGGCTTCTGCCTTCCAGCACCTCTTCTAATGCTGCTTCAAATTCCACTCGTCCAGCTGCGATATCACAAAAAACATCGACTAGTATTGAAAACTAGCTAGCTTTAATTTGTACCCTTATTCTTCTGATTGGTATTCTTCGTTTTAAATAAGAAACTCTTCTTCAGTAATTGAGCCCTCTGCGAAAGAAATTACATGCGAGTTTCGCATATGACTTCACCATCCTCTGTTTTGTTGTCCGATCTTAAATTGCAAATTTTCGCGCCTTCTTACCGTCATGGGCCAGGCCGCCCGTATTGGATCCAACCGTCCCAGTGTACGGTAGAGAACTATCTTAAATTCCCTAATCTTCTACAGACACCCGTGGATGAACTCATAGATTGTTCACAGTCCCCTATTTTCCCGTAAGATCGTCGAGATCGAGCGCTATGCGTTACGGGTTGTCATCTTGGATGAGTGTCAAAACTACTTAGGGGGGCGGAGGAAGGTTTGGGAGGAAGCAAGAAAAATAGAGGGACTGTTATAACATCACTGCAGCTCGCCTTCAGGAGGCATGACAAGAATTTTACGCCTTTTACCATTCATTCATTAAGAAACTCTGCTGGCAATGAAAAACATGCCAGACACATTTAGCATTGATTTACAAATGCGTGTTTACAAATATCTCCTTTCGAAACAGTGATTTTATACAGTTTCTGGGACATACCACAGATTAAAACGGTCAAACCTCCCGATAAAAAGCCAAGCATTTCTGACAGGTACTCTTTCTTGTGTCGGCGTAGCGTTAAATTTCAGTTCGTTTAAGAGAAACGGTGTTACAACATTCCCCTGGCCGAGCTGCTTCAAAAGCATGTTGGCTTATGTGATTCATCCGCAAAATGCCTAAATTCCTTCGTGTGTTTGCGCAAGATGTGCCTTATGCTATTATGAAAGTGTACGTTTTATAGAAACGACGACTTGTCAAAGCCTTGTCAGTGTCGGCAACTTAAACTAAACCCGTTGTCACTTGACGCAAATTAACATCTATTGTCTAATTACCAATCAAACGCCTGCGTTGCTGGTACAACGCACTCCGTGAACGCGAGCTGCAGTGATGTTATTACAGGCCCTGTATTTTTCTCGCCCCCTCCCCCTAGAGCTACATGTATACATGATATCCGATGTCCGCCCCCTCGGTCATTTGAAAATCAAGATGGCCGCCATTAACTGTAAGACAAGCTATATCACAACCGCTATCTCACGGAAAATTAGGGGGCTATGAACAGTCTATTTCGCTCGGCATCCCCTGAGCACGCCTGAGAGTTTCGTTGATTGTCGCCTGCGGTATCGCAGCTGGACAAGTGGAATTTGAAGCAGCATTAGAAGAGGTGCTGGAAGGCAGAAGCCTTGACGCGTCGCTTAGTAATTCGCTCACTCTTCCTTTCGTTCTTTCGTCCACACTTTCTACTGCAGATAAAAATGGCAGCCGAGGATACATGAGACCTTGCCATTTGACCTGAGCACGTGATCCCGGCCGAGCTCGCCCCAGGAAGATTAAATGAATTTTACTTTCACAGTTTAAATATAATTTACATTGGTAAGTTTAAAAGAAATTTGTGAACGTTTCAATTTAAAGGATTAAGTTAGAATTCAGCAGTTTAAAAGACATTTTTCAGTAAATTTTAAATGGGAATTCCAAAGTTTAAATTTAAATGGATAGAATGAATTAAACGAAAATGTCAAAGTTTAAACCATAATTTAATCGAAGATTAAATGGATTTCCGTAAGAAGTTTAAATGAAATTTCCAAAGGATTAAATGAAACTCTTTTAAATTTAAATAAATTTTAGATGCGAGGTTTAAATTTAAAAGAAATCATGTCCAAATCAAATATGAATCAACAGGGATTAAATATTGCTACATATGGGCAGGCATACAAAACTCGCACTAGATCGGACGTGCGTGGAAAGGGTTTTGGTTGGTTTAGACTGCGAAAGCATCCGGTTTTTGAAACACGAAACTTGAGCCGAAAAAACCGGATGCTCTAGCAGGCTATGGTTGGTTTGTTTTTCGCGCTTTCAAGAGTTATTTTTATTGGAGTTGATTAGATTTTGGGTTGACCTACCAAAAGGTTGAACGAATGTAGTTTACTTTTCAGCGAAAATTTGCGAAAAATTTGCCAAATACCAAAATATTACGAAAAAAAAAAAAACATGGACATCTGGTGCATAAATGCCTGAGATAATTAAACGTGCTAGATGGAAGCAACCATAAGTATGCGGAGCCGATTATAAATGTGATTAAAATATGCGGTATCGGTATTTACTAGACGATTTTCGACGCGGTATTTCGGGATTTGCCATAGTATTTGGTTACGGTATTGCGGTATTGGGTACCCCTCAATTCCCCCCTCTATTTATACGTTAAAATTAAAAAAAAACGATATTCATAGAAGACTTAAATATTCATTAGATACTACATTATAGGACACTATCTATTCATCTTCATCGAAAAAAAAAATGGATATTTGGGCCCATTAAATAATTATAATTTCAAGAAGTTTGTGTTACCCCGGTTGCGTGACGGTTTCAACATTTTATGCATTTTATGCAAAAACATCGAAAGTGAACTTCGCGTTTACCTCTCTCGACGGGTTGCTTTTTAATTGCCCAAGCTGGATTTTTTTATATGTTGTACTACAACAGTAGGGGTAATACTGAGGTATAATAATTCTATATACCAAGCCGTGATTTTTTCCTTCAAAGTTTCGCAAAATTTCATTGTTTATGAAAGTGCTGAAGATAGGAATCTTCGGGTGATTTTTAACCGAGTAAAAAAAATGCATTATCTTGCAATATTTTTACTAAATAGCATTGCAACTAGAATGCCTTACTTACCTGCCAAAGATGAACTTGTTTCCTTCGACCGCCTTTCTTCTCGAGGGCTTTGAAAATGGTATACTTCAAAAGGTTTTGGACCGGCGACTATATGGCGTGGGGCAGCATTTCACTTTTTGGCGGTTTTCTCGAAAATGAAAATTCTTTGGAAACTTTGATTGTGATTTTCGAAAATGTTTCACCTAAGAGTTCTTTCTGACTGAGAATGAAGTATTTCGAAATTCAGTTTTGATGGCGAATTCTCAATCATACAGACAGCCGCTCTTAAGTATTATAGCGAAAACTCTAACCCTAAATAGGAGCTAACCATTAATTAACCCTAATCAGTATTGTTACTGCTTAACCCTAATCTCTATTGCTGGTTTTCAGTGTCACGCCATTCAAAATAGATCAAAATCAAAATCAAAACCGTTCAATAGATAAAGTTCAGAATCTGGGAAGCGAAAGGAGGTACATATACAAAGACCCTCGCCAAGATTCAGGTCAGAGGAATATTTGGTATACGAAATATCCAAAGAAATGTTTTACGCAAACTTATAGAGATTTGTAAGGAGACGCCATGCTGGTGCTCAGCTGAATGAGCTCCAGCATGGCGGACGGAAGCCAAAAAAACTCATAAACATTAAAGTAATTCTTTTTCTAATAACTGAACTGTTTCGATAGCAAAATTTCCTGAAATGAGTCATTTTTTTTAACCTACATGACAGCTCTCTTGGCCTTCATATAAATGCCGCGTCACGCGAAATTCAAGCGTACTCTATCGCAAAACGTACCAAGAACCCCTTTGAAGCGAAAATTTGTATGAAAATTAGTTTTCATCTGCTCTAATGTATTGTGAAAGTAAAATCACGGTAGGATCGATAGTTTTTTAGTTTGAATTTTAGTGACGTCATGTGAAAACCAACAATTGTCTGGAGGGCTCACTCACATATATGAAATTACTTTGTGTAGGCATCACAAGGTATCCAAGGGCAGTTTGAGATACGGAAACAAGTGTTAACCCCTACAAGTAAGTTGTAGTACGTGCCTTTTTTCCATTTTTCAAGATGGGGAACAAAGGCATGGAAGACCTTATCCCTGTTATGAACAAAATTCAAGATGCCTTTGCGCATATAGGACAACCACCGTCTATAGATTTGCCTCAGATCGCCGTCGTGGGAAATCAGAGCGCTGGTAAAAGTAGTGTTTTAGAAAACTTTGTTGGAAGGTGAGGGTAAACGTTGATAATAGCTATCAAGAATCAATATCGATGTTTACAACTCGAATATTGGCATCAACGGCCTGAATTTATTTAATATTCTAGGGATTTCTTGCCGCGAGGATCCGGCATTGTCACAAGAAGACCACTGATTCTTCAACTTCATCCAGCGAAGTCAGGTGAGCTTAGCCTGGCCCGGCAAATTGCAGAAAAGTAAATGTTTATTGAATGAAATCTGATCTACAATGGCTCGTAAAGATTGTTTCAAATGATTAGCATTTGGAGTGGTAAATTTAAAATAGCAGATCTGTTTTGTTACTTTTCGTCCAGTGATCGACATTGTCCTGATAACAGTTGTGCCCATTAAAAAATTTTTGTGTTAACGTGTTCATTTGATTAATAATTGTATGCATTTTATTCTGCTCTAATCACTCGGGAATTAGGATTACGTGACATTCTAAAAACAGAGATGATGATCTCTTTTTTCTCTCGTAACGATTGTTTCAAATGATTAGCATTTGAAGTGGAAAATTTAAAATAGCAGATCTGTTTTGTTACTTTTCGTCCAGTGACTGATATTGTCCTGATAACAGTCGTGCCCATTAAAAAACGCTGTAATTGGCTATATGCCCGGCAGCCAAGAAGGGTCTTAAAAAAACTAAATGCCTGGCAGTCAGAAAATTTTTTGGATTTTCTTCGAAATCCCTCTTTCGAAATCGTCTGAAAGTATTCTATCTTCATTTAAAATCACCAAGCTATTAAGAAAACAGGAATGGCTTCGCAGTTGAGCGTTTGTGTTTTCTTGGGCATAGAGTAGTGTCTACGCCTTTTCGACACTTCGAAAAATTTCGTGAGTAGCAGCGCTTGACTCACAGGCACGTTTTCGCACAAGCTAAATAGAGGGGGACATTGGGGGTATCCAATACCGCAATACCGTAACAAATTAAAATAACGTCTAAATACCGATACCGCATATTTTAACCACATTTATAATCGGTTCCGCATACTTATGGTTGCTTCCATCAAGCACGTTTAATTATCTCAGACCTTTATGCACCAGATGTTCATGTTTTTTTTAATATTTTGGTAGTTCGCAAATTTTTTACAAATTTTCGCTGAAAAGTAAACTACATTCCTTCAACCTTTTGGTAGGTCGACCCAACATCTAATCAACTCCAATAAAAATAACTTTTGAAAGCGCGAAAAACAAACAAACAAACCATAGCCTGCTAGACCATCCGGTTTTTTCGGCTCAAGTTTCGAGTTTCAAAAACCGGACGCTTTCGCAGGCTAAACCAACCAAAACCCTTTCCACGAGTTTTGATAAGTGAGTCTAGTTTGGCACGTCAGTCTGATAGGGGTCAACTACCTCGACTGTCTCACACGCCGTGCCGGTAAGAGGCAAACTTACCAAATTTTCTCTTTTAATTTTACAAGGCGTTTTTCAATTCTCGAAACCCGACATCTAAACTTATTCTTGTTGCGATAATGTTCGCCTCCTTCGCCTTCTTCATAAAAATTGCCACACAGTCAATGATGTGGTGACCACGCCGTCTTCAACCTCAGCGACCTTAGCCATTGTGAGAAAACGTGTAAGACCTCGAATTACCGGCACCGACTGACACAGATCGAAAAGCCTGGCAACGTAACTTGAGACGACTCATTATCATTGGATGCAACAACAAGCACATTGTATATTATAGACCATTAACTGTCACAAAATGACCCACGAATGGTGTAATCATTTACCGTTATGTCTCAAGACTTCTAAATATTAACTTTTATTGACCTTTATGTCCTACTGTGTTTTGTTTTGCGAAAGGAAAGCGCAAATAAACGGTACCGTAATACCGTGAACAATCTTCTTTCACCGAATACCGTCAGCCAAAATGATGAAGAATTGAATACCGCAGAGCTAGATGATACCGCAATACCGCACGTTAAAATCAAGAAATACGGCATGAAAAAAAAGCCAAATACCACAATATCGTAAACCCCCATGTCCCCCTCTAAATACCCGGCAGTCCGAGGGGCGACTGAAAAGTTAGGAAGCCTATTATTAAGCCAAAGAATACATACTTGCCTCGATTATTTTCCCAAAGCAATAACGAAGATACAGCGCTTTCATTTTCAAACCTCATTTTGCAAGGCCTCTAGCCGCTTGAAGGTAAACTCTCGACACAGCTTGAGTCCCCCTCAAAATATTCTATTTTAGTTTAGAATTGGAAAGTAATGGGAAATCAACAGCGTTTTTCGAAATCTCTTTTTGTAATCGTCTGAAAGTATTCTATCCTCATTTAGCATCACCAAGCGATCAGGAAAACAGGAATGGCTTCGCAGTTGAGCGTTTGTGGTTTCCTGGGCATAGAGTAGAGTCGACGCAGTTTCGACCCTTCGAAATTTCGTGAGTAGCAGCGCGTGACTCAGAGGCACGGACAGTCTAAATTACTCGGCAGTCTGAGACGCGACTGGAAAGTTAGAAAGCGTATTATTAAGCCAAAGAATACAGACTTGCCTCGATTAGTTCCCCAAAGCAATAACGAAGATTCAGCGCTTTCATTCTGTTTTCCTGATCGCTTGGTGAAGACCCTTCCCGGCTGTCGGGCACATTGTCGGTTTTCACATGACGTCACTAAAATTTAAACTAAAGAAACTATCGATCCTACCGAGATTTTGCTTTCACGATGCATTAGAGCAGCTGAAAACTAACTGTCATACAAATTTTCGTTTCAAAAGGGTTCTTGGTTTTGTGATAGAGTACGCTTGAATTGCTAAGCTTTTGCGTGACGCGGCATTTACATGACGGCCAAGAGAGCTGTCACGTAGGTTAAAGAATGACTTATTTCAGGAAATTTGCTATCTAAACAGTTTATGTATTAGAAAAAGTATACTTTAATGTTTATGAGTTTCTCGAAGAATAAATTCACGCTTTTGTAGCAGAACTCGGTAACAGATGTTTCTGTTGGTTTCCGTCCGACATGTTGGAGCTCATCCAGGCGAGCACCAGCATGGCGTCTCCATACAAATCTCTATAAGTTTGCGTAAAACATTTCTTCGGATATCTCGTATACGAAATACTCCTCTAACCTGAATCTTGGCGAGGGTCTTTGTATATGTACCTCCTTTCATTTTCCAGGTTCTGGACTTAATCTATTAAATGGTTTTGATTTTGATTTTGATCTATTTTGAATGGCGTGACACTGAAAACCAGCAATAAGTAAATAATATAATGATAATAAAAATAATAATTAATACAGTAAAATAAAGTGAAATCTCAAAAAGTAAAACAATAATAATGATAATAATAATGATGATGATATTATTGATAATTACAAGAGTACTGATAATGAGAACTGAATAATGAAAGAGGATACAGATTGTACAAAATGTTCCCTAAAATAATATTATAAGAGAGTTATAGAATTAATGGTTGAAAAACGAACATGTTTTGATGTTCAACTATCATCATTATCAAGTCAAAGAAAAAGAGTTGTTTGGAAATATAATAATTACTTAAACAATAATTCATAACTAGTTACCTACAGATGTATTTAAGTGCCAAAAATAATTGATCAAACAAAGAGCACGGCATGGATGGAATCAGCTTGGGAGTTCAAGATTGGTTTGAGTTCTGAACTCAATCCAAGTAAATTATTGTAAAACTGCCCGTTTTTTAGTTCCCCGGTACATCTTGTTGTGCATTAACTCTTTGACTTTTGATTTTGCCTGTTGTACAGAGTTTGCAGAATTTCTTCACTGCAGGGGAAAGAAATTTACTGATTTTGAAGAAGTAAGGAAAGAGATTGTGGCAGAAACTGACAGAGAAACTGGCAGCAATAAAGGAATTTCATCTCTACCAATTAATCTTCGGGTTTTCTCTCCTCACGGTAGGAAAATTAGCAATCTTTGTCTTAAACAGGGTCAGGGTATGAGGGGCCGGGCAGCACCTCCCCGGCCAAGGATATATCGAGTACCCCCCGGGTTTTTTTTAATACAAATCCGATGCTGAGCACCTTAGTTTTTAGAGTTTCATAGCACTGGGCACCCTTTAATTTTCCTTAGAACACAGCCTTGGTGTGACAGCATCCTGCATACTGCTAGGATTAGATGTCAAAGATACATGTACATGCATGTATGTGCTTTTGCACAATGATAGAATGCCACTCTGATCACTAGGAAACAGGTTTAAAATGATTATCTCCATCTTTGTTTAGTCTGGGGTATGTCATTGAAGGTCTCAGAGAATCAGAAACGCACACTTTATAAAGTCAAATATTTGCATACAACAAAAGTTGGCCATTCTTTTAGGAAAATGTTTAAGGTTTGACTTCCAATCTATAGACTGCTACACAAACCATACATGCTAAAAAAAGGTGACTTCCTTTCATACAGAAATTAAATTAAAATATTTTTAATATTTATTCATGACAGAAAAAAAAATTGTTTTTAACATTGTATATTAGCCGATCCCTATGGAAGCCAGTCTTCTTTTAATAAATTAGTGACACAAACCTGAGCCAGGTTTCATTTTAAAATATTATTGCGATGTTTTTTTTTGGAGTTTAGCACCAGTAGTAGAAAACTGTCTGAAAACTGGAAATAAACCTGGCGTTGAATATACTTAGGGGGTGTTTACATGACACCGGGGCGACTTTCACACTGGCGCGAACTCACTCCGGTTCCCTCTCATAGCTCTATATTCGTTTACATGATCCCACCACAAAATGTCATGCCGGCGCGAGTCACCCTGTCGTGTGTTCGCTCCGGTTGTTGTACCAGGACGAGAATTTCACTCCAGCATTTAATCTCGCAACGGTATCATGTAAACGATAAACGACCACTTGTTTCGGTGTGAAACCGGACTGCCTGTGGACTGGAACGCGTAGCGCATGCGTAATGTTTGCGATTTTGAATCACATGGGTATTTTATCAACATGAAGTGTACCTTCAAATAACAAGAAATAAAATGGCCCAGTCATCATGTAAACTGGATACAAAATCAAAAAGTCATCGCCGTATGAAACTCCCACCGGTGCGAGTTTCATATTTTCTTTATATTTAATTTTTTAGTGCTGAATTTGACTCTGGTGGATCTTCCTGGCATGACAAAAGTTCCTGTTGGTGATCAGCCAGCAGATATAGAAATGCTGATTAGAAGCATGTTGATGCAGTTTATCACCAAACCAAACTGCCTTATATTGGCAGTGTCACCTGCAAACTCAGATTTAGCTAACTCTGATGCACTGAAGATTGCAAAGGAAGTAGATCCTGAGGGTAAGTTTTTGATTGCACTCTTTGCACTTGGCCAGCTTTTTGGAGGTGTTTTAAATAATATTGCTCCAAGAAAATTATGCTGAAGAATATAAAATTTGAACTAAGGAAATTAATCACTTGTCACTTGCATGTATTTTATTCATTGTTTCACCAGCCCTGGCCTCTACTGCACTTACTAATTGTGTACAGGAATGAGTATCGAAAAGGACTGAACATTGATTAAATTTGTCTTTCAATGATTCAGGTGTAAGAACAATTGGAGTAATAACCAAGTTGGACCTCATGGATGAAGGAACAGATGCACGAGACATTCTAGAAAACCGAGTCCTTCCTTTAAGAAGAGGTCAGACAGTATTATTTTATTTTGCCGTTGTATGAATTCGCTGTAGTTGAAAAGTAATACTGCTTAAAGTGACTATGATAGCGGGCTACACTAAAATCCAAGTCTTTTACTGTTCTTCTGGTCTCTGGGCAAACAAAGATATTTCACTCAAACATCAAAGTGTGTTAATTGCCAGAGGCCACTTGGCAGTGCTGAAGCATACCCTGTTATCGGCAGGCTGTTTATTTTTGGGCCTATTCATCCCATATTTTTCATCAATGAAACTTTCCAATGTGTTCAGTGCCTCCCAGGGACATTGAAGGGACATGCTGTAGCCAAGTCAAATTATTGTTTTGCTTGCCAATGATTGCAGCAGCTGGAGGAAACTTGTGGTCAAGCCTGCTTGATGTTAATGATGATGATGATGATGATCATGATGATGATGATGATGGAAGCAATAGTATAACTTTGGTTTCTTTTCAGGGCTCGAAATTAAAAAAATCCCGAAGTCGCCTTTTGGCGACCAACTGAAGAAATATAGTCGCCAGATGAAAATTTTTAGTCGCCAGTTTGTATGATGTAAATGACGCAGCTCATAGTATGAGCTAGGCTTCTGATATTTAGCGCTGATTTGCGAAATTCAGGTGAATACGCGAAATCCCGCGAAAGCCACTAAATCATGCAAAATACCGCGAGATTCGCTAGAAATCTTAACAAATACATATCGATACAGCATATTTGAAACTTATCTCGGCTATTGGGGCTGTTTAATTGCCGTAAACTTGCAAATTTATCTTGAAACTTCATTACCACAACGAGCGAACAACGTCCTAGAACTCCCAGGCGTAAATTATGTTTGCGAAAAACTGGCCACTAGTCATGATGTTTAAAGCTTTGCCATTAGCGCTTTATTGTTGAACAAGAAGCCGCTTACAGCAGTCTCTTTCTACACGAAACAGGTTTTACTCGCTAAAGGTTTTTTACTTCCTACTTCATCGACGTCAATACTTTTTACTTGTCTCTGAATTGATTTAGTACGCGTGTTAGCGACGACCGGAAATACGTCTGCGGACGCAGGCTATAGGCGTATATAAATCCACGAAAATTCAAGGGCCTCAATTCCAGAGAAATCACATCATTGCTAGAGATCAAACAAGTGATTTACACGGCACGTCATTTCAATCGTCGCCGAAAATAAATCGCATCTCATCACAAGACACTAATGCATACAATGAAAGTTTACAAAACCCGACCATCGCAGTTTTGCTAATTAAGATTGTTTTTTCGACCACTCAGTAGTGTTCACTTGTCCCAAAGTAATCGACGATTTCAAGCGATAGAATTCGTGAACCGACACGTTTCGGAAAAGTTTTAAATTTAATCTTTCCTAAGCTTTCTTCGCAAAACATGCGTGGCTTCGAACCACGCAACGATTCTTAGTCCCAGTTTCCACGGACTCTGCAAGGAACTCCTGGCACAATGACCCCCAATTTGTATTTTAAATACGGCGAAAACCCCCGGGGGGTACTTCCAGAAAAACCGGGTCGGGTTGTGCGGCACTCTTCCTGAAACCCTTACCCTATTTCAAACCAAAATCTCTGATTTTCCCTACCCTATTTCAGACCTGATCAAAAATTTGATACCCAACTGTATTTCAGACCTGAAGCCCTGGAGCCCGGCGCGTGACCGGAGGGCGTGACAAGCTGTTAAGGCACGTATACGGTTGGTGAAAACATTAAAAGAGAAATGGTCTTGTCGCCAAATGATGAAGAAGTAGCTTCTTCTAAAAAAAACATACCCAATTCAAGAGTAGAGTGCACAAACCATACCCTTTTTCAGACCACAATGGTCGAAATTGATACCCTTTTTCAGACCAAAACGGCTAAAAAACCATACCCTTTGGCGCTGCACATACCTATATAGCCTATATAAGGAAGTACCCCCCCTGGCAAAAAACGCGTTGCAGATTATGAATCTCGCTGCTTACGCAAAATAAGAAAATGGCATCACAACTCAGATGATAGCTCTGACATCATTTTTAGACTAATATTATCGGTTCTCTACTTCAGTTTAATATCAAGTTGTGTAATTCATTATCTGCTATGGCATTTATTTTTTGCTGCCCAGTTTCAAGGCCAGATGATCTGTTTTCACTATTAAAATTTGGATTTGTTGGTGTACATCAGTATTCTTCTCTAAACACCTTATTGAGCTATCTCCAATATTGAGCATTACAGTTGTACAGATTGTGAAAACTAAAGTCCGGGTAAATTTGAAATATAATAAAATCACCATAGATTATTTTTTATCGTGTACACTAATACTAGTGTGCAGGAAAGAATAAGTATGTGAAAAAATATAATTCACTGCCCTTGAAAAACTAACAAAGAGGTCGCAAGAACACAAATAAGTATCCCAGCAAATATTTTTCTTCGATAATAACAGCTTTTTGTAATGAAATGGTCACTGAAAACTACCCATGCAAGACATACTAAGGAACTTAAAAGAAACTAAACATTCGCTAGTCTTACATTGAAACCAGACATTGCTATATATATATATATCTTACAGATACAACCTAAAACATTTATATAACATACAAATTCAAAAGTATTTGCAAACAAGAAAATTATACAGAATTATGCACAAATGAAATACAAATGGCCAGTAACAGCTATTAAACCATTGAAAAACAAACTTTTTAGTGTGACCAGCAACCCTAGCACACTTGTATACTTCATGTCCAGTATGATTCAATTTCATTCTTGGTTAAATTTATTAACTTCAGCCAGGCTTAATCAAAATTGATTCAAAAAATACTTTCCTGTTTCCTTGTCTACAATATATAATATTAAGAGAGAGGATATAATGCTAGAAGCTAGAAATATTATACAGTAGTACTATCAAAAGATAAGGCACCTCCAGGAAATCGAGTTGGTCCCTACTATTCTTCAGTCATTTTCTTTCACTCTCTATAAGAGTTACACCTGTCCATTAATACAGACATTTTGTGCCAGTCCCAAAAGTTTCCATCTGAGAGCTGACTGTAGTTTGTGCGACACAACACTTAAGCCTCTGACGACAAAAATACAATGTTACACAGTCTTAATTTATTCTACTTGCAATCAAATTAAGACCTCTTCATGTCCTTCTTCATATTCACGGTATTATGAACTCGTTTATCTTTCAGTGCGTGTTCTAGTAGTCTTTTCAGGCCGGGCACTCACTGTTGTCCTACAAAAAAAACATAATAACAAACACATTCTATGATTTAATTTTACATTGGAATCTTTGTGGGAATTTGAAAGCAAATTTCTGCAAAGACTTCATCCTGTTTCTGCGTAATACAACCTAGTCTCAACCTTTAGATTTATACCGCAGTGAAGCAGAATTTGTTGTTGTTTATGTAGACTGCCACATGCACCAGATCATTCGAATGTAATTTTTTAGTAGTTTTCTAATTTTTTCTAATTCTAATTTTTTTTTTAGTTACAGAACCGCGATCCGATCGCGGTTCTGTAACTAAAAAAAATTATTTACCATCTTAGTGTTTATTAAAGAAAAAAAAAAATCGCTAAATTGGGCAACTGAAATCTTTTATTTTACTAACAACCTAAACGCCAACGTACAAGACAAAAACCTTGCTATCGCCATTATGAAGTCGTCACTTCTAAAAATTTACATGCACAAACAAAATTTATAAAACCATTACATATTTTTTTTGCAGCCGTTTATTATCATTTGGTTTTGACTGGCAAGATAAAACGCAACCTTCAAGCTGTAATATTCGATAGGCCATTTTCACACTACATAAACATAAAGGGCGCAAAAACACCTTAACTTATACCAGTATCTATAAAATATCACCTAAATATTTTCTGTATATCGCATAGAAATACGCCAAATATCAAATCTAATTATAGATTGCAGCGATCTAAAGATATAAACTAATAAATCCGAACCTACCTCCAGCTAGACGGCGCCATTTTTC